CCAGGTGTCAGCTTGGGGTACAGTGCCACCACAGAGAAGGTGACTTGCGTGTAACTGAGAAGGGTTTGTTCCTTCCCTCTTTGAGTTTTGTTTGATCAGTTTGTTTTATTGCCTGTAAAGGAATAAATAAGAACCCAACCCATCAAAGAGCAGAATGAGGCCTCTCCTGTAATCCTAGCCAGCAAGGGTGGTCAGGATTTCAGGCTCTGTTGCGTCGTCTGGGAATCACTGTCTGAGGCCACTCATTCAACACGAAAGGCCATGCATCCCCCAGGCACCACGGGCCACTGGCTGTTTCCACTAGGGATTCTGGGGTCCATAAACATATTTGAGATGTGGGGGGTGGGGGGGATCATTGGCTTAAAATGCACAGATAAAAAAATGCAGAATCCCATTGAACAAGTGTTCAAATAAATGTTCACAAATGTGACCGTGTTGTACTTCATTAATTGTTAATGTTAGCATTCGTTCATGTTTAATTGCCTTTGAAAACAATTGATTCAATCTCTCACTTCACAGGAAGCACGTGCAATAATTGCCCAGAAATCATAGTCACTTGGAAATTTAAAATATGCCACTTGGAACCAAGTGATTTCAAAAGCAAAATTAGAGAAATCTTTTCAAAGATTTCTACACCAAAAAAATAGAACACATTTATTCAGGGTCAATGTGAATAAACTGTGATATATTCGATGTGTTACAACATGAGATCTCCAAATGGAATAATGCCAGAACCCCTGAAAGGCACATAAACAGCCCTTATAACATTGGAGGTAAATAAGAAAAAAAAAACACCAGGAAAACCTAAATGTCTGTCAAGTGAGTCCTAGTTAAACACCTTTAGACACACTTGTACAATGGATCACAATGCTACTGCTAAAAAGAACGAGTATAGCTACAAAAAGTGACATGGGAAGATGTTTTGGATATATTAGCAGGTAAAAAAGCAAGCTGGAGAAAAATCTCTGTGATATAAACCTGCTTCTGTTTTTTAAAGATATCGTTGCAATAAAAATAGCTAATAATAGTGCTAAATGCTCTACGTCAGGGGAAGGAAACTGTTTCCATAAAGAGCCTGATAGTAAATACTTCAGGCTTTGTGGACTTATATGGTCTCTATCCCAGCTACTCAACTCTGCCTTTGTAGCTGGAAAATAGTGTAGACAACATATAAATGAATGGCCAGCTGTCTTTCAATAAAACTTTATTTATAAAAACAGCCAGAGAGCCAGATTTGTCCCTAGAGCCATAGTTTACCAACCCCTGCGGTACTCCACCACTTAGTTTAATCTTCCAATTGCCCTTTATAAGAAAGACCATTAGCGTCCCTAAGTAATATATGTGGAAACTTAAGGCTGAGAGTAAATGATCTGCTCAAGGTCATCAGCTTTTATGTGGCATTAAAAAAATGTCTGGAAAGAGACACATTAAAGTGAATCCAGCACGGTTAACACTAGAAAAGAGGAAGGAGGTACTCGCCCTCTTTCTAATGCTCCTGTAAGGCTTTCAGTGCTTTTCAATGAACAGATACATCACTCTGTCATTTTTTATCTACATAAAATGTAAATCTCAGCAGGGCATTAATGTGAAGGTTAATCTGCAAATGTTCCTCCCGACCTTAGGGGAACTCACACTCTCCTCTGTGCTCTCTGTTGGTCTTGTGTGTCAGTGTGGACCAGTGCCGGGCAACTGTCGGCACAGTCCGTGGCCGAGGGAATCCCCAGCGCAGGACCTTCCCGGGAGATTTACGTGGACCAGGACCTGCCCCCGCAGGATAAGGTGAGAGGTCTCAAGGGAAGGACAGAGCTACAGGAACAAGAGGGACTGTGGAGACTGTGGAGGGATTGCTGCTGCCTCATTCTCCGAGGCCTAGAAGAGCCTTTTTACAACTTCCACAAAACCGCCTCTTATTCCCAGGACTTTCAACCAAAAGTTTGGTCACTGCTCATTTTACCCCAAATAACATCTACAACCACAATGTATTGAGCACCTACCGTGTGCTGGACTGTGTCCTGCGCACTTGACATTTATTTAGCTTGTTAATCTTCACCATCTTCAAAGGAGATTTTACCACCCTCACTTTACAGATGAAGGACCCAAAGCTCAGAAAGGTTAAGTAACTTGCCCAAGGTTGCACAGTGTAAAGGGCAGAGCTGGAATTCAGACCTGCGTCTGGTTAACTTCAAGCTGGTGCTTCTAACTCCCACACAGTAACCATCAGTCAAATCATGAGAGATGAAGGTGTGGTGGGGAAACACGTTTCCTAGCAGGAAGACGTGAGCGTTGAAGCCAGAGAAGACCAAACAGGAGAGGGACTTGCTAAAGAACCAGAGAAGTTACGACTAAAGCAGGAACGGGAGCCAGAACGGGCAAATTCAAGCAACCCTGGGCAGGGCCCATAATGGTTTCTCCCCAACTTAGACACGTGAAAATTATCCTAAAAGAAGCAGTCCCACAATATCCTGCTTTCCTTAAGGACCAGGGCCTGCACCTGCAGCAATCCTCAGAGTCTGTGAGGAGTTCTTGTTAGATGCAGGGGAGTCTGCAGCTTCAGGTGGCAGGTGGTTCCGATGCCCCTGTTCTGGGACCAGACTTTGAGACATGTTGCAGAAAGGTGAGAAGCCAGGCATGCAAGTTGTTATTGGTTATCTTTTGCTTTGTAATAAGCCACCCCAAAAAACCTAGTGACTTAAAACAGCAATTTATTATTTCCCAGAATCTGTGGGTTGACCTGGAAGGTCTGCTGGTGTCCCCTGGCCTCACTCAGGCAACTGTGGTCACCTGGTGGCTTGGCCAAGCCAGTGGTCTCACGTGGCTTCACTCCCACGTCTGGGACTTCAGCCAGGACTGGTGGGCCTGTCTGCACACGGGTCTTCATCCAGGGCTGCTTCACAGCATGGTGGCCTCGGGGTCCCCAGAGAGCCAGAAGAGAAGCCTAACAACCTCTTAAGGACCTGCCTGGACACTGCTCAGCATCACTTCTGCCACATTCTGTTGTCAGAATCTGTCACAAGGCCAGTCCAGATTTAGGGAGTGGGGAAATAGACTCCTGATGACAGAAAGCCGCAAAGTATTTGTAGCCTTTTTCAATCCACCCCAGTTTAACTGAAAATACAATGCAACCACATTTATAGTATTCTCTGTTTACAAGCCGTTTGGGCTCTGAATTGTCTGGGTTCCTTCAAATACAAGTGACAATAAACAAATTAGCTTAAGCATAAAGCATTTATTGGCCTATTTTACTGGGAAATTTAAGCCCACTAGCTTCAGGCATGGCTAGATCCAGGAGCTTAAATGATGTTGTCAGAATACTCCCCACTGCCCATCTCTCCCTGCTGTGCCCTTGGAGTTGGCCTTCTACAGCAGGCTGGCTTCCTGTATTAGAAAAGACAAACTCAAGCAAACAAGCCTATAGGTTTAAAGTTTATGATCCAAAAGGAAATAAGCTCACCTCTCTCTGTAATGGATGTGAAATCTGGGAAAACTCTAATTGACCAGCTTGGGCCCCATGCACTTGGGGAGACAGGACTGGAAGGAACAGGGCACATGATTGACAGTTCTACAAAGACCACATGAAAGGGGGAGCACTTCCTCAAGGAAGAGCATGAGGTCCTCACCAGGAAGGCAGAAACCACCGCTTTAGGCTTCTGCAGGCTTCTTCATACTCCAGTGCCCAGCACAGAGAGCCTGGCACATAGTAGCTGCTCAATAAATGTTTGGAGCATGACTTAGTAATAAGCATATGGCTGACCATATTGGGTGAAACAGGGGAGGCTGCCCAGGAGTGTAGAATCTCTTTGATGCTGCTCCTTGAAATCTTGCCACAAGCATTTGCAAAGACCCAAAGAAAGACCCTTGGCAGCAATTGGCAACGTCAGACAGGCTTCCCCATGACTGGGACCCCATTCTTCCCCAGGTCAGGGTGGAAGTTCATGAGGCTGACTGAGTGGCTCCCTAGGCAACGAGCCGACCCAGAGATGCCCATTTACCTCCTTCCAACCAAGGGACAGTTGTTAGAAGAGCAGGGATGCCTTTAAAAGCAGAATTCCCGAAGCTGCATTTGAAAATACATTAGGGAAGTTTTTTTTTTTCAGTCTATCTGACATTTTATTGAGGACTTCTGATAAGAAGTTTGGGGGATTTTTTTTCCCCACTTTGGGGAAGCCTAACAAATGATTTGGCTGCAGAGCTTTTACTTTTGGGGAGATGGAGGACTGGGTTAATTATACCTGCGGATAAAGGCTGCCAGTTTTTTTCCAGCCCGAAGTTTGCATGCGCTCACACAAATTAATCACCATTCCTATCTCATTTACTTTCCAGATTCAGTTACCTGGAATAAACTTGTCCGTGAATAACCAAAAGAGGCAGGAAGTACCCGAGGAAAGAAAAGGGAAAAGAAATCTTTCAGAATGTGTTACATTTTTTAAGTTAAAAAAAAAACCTCATTATAAGCAGACTGTGCCTGAACAGAATGTTGTTTTCCTAACTATCTTTCCTAGGTCCCCGTGTGCTAAGCTGGATATTATAAGGAAACTTTCTAGCAACAAAGGTTCCCAAGTGGGCTGGTTGTTCCCAATAAGTAAGCATAATTTTAGGAGAAAGGAAGGCTTCACTACATGTGAGGGATGAACGTCACTACGACAGTCTGTATACAAGTGTGTATGTCCTTCTAACCAAACGAGCAAACTCTTGCCTTTACAAGGTTTTCCAAGTGACAGAGCATTGAAAGTCTGCCTTTTCCCTCCCTGCTGCCCTCGCCTTCCCAAAAGAATTGCACTGCGTTTTTCCTACATTTTTTTTAATGGTCTCAGCCTTGCACCAAGACCCACACCTAGTAACGTCCTGTCGGGCCTCCCCCAGGATGAAATCATTCTACTGCTGGGAAAAGAGGTCAGCCGACTCTCGGATTTTGAGCTGGAATCTCAATACAAAGACGCCGTGATAGCCAGCCTGCAGAACGAAGTGGCCAGCCTGAGTCAGAGGCTGTCAGACACCACCGCCACCAGGCAGCACGAGAGGGTGATGTCGCAGAAGTGTCACGTCCCGGATGAAGACATCGAAGACAAACAGGAAGAGATCCAGAGCTTGAAAATCCAGGTAGGAGATGCAGACGAATCAGCCGAGGCCTGAGGATCACAACACAGGGTGACAGCTCTCAGCTAAAGCCAGCGAAGCCCGGAGGGGAGCACGCAGGTAGTTAGAAAGGGGGTAGTCAACGTCACACGGTGGGCAGGAGCACAGATCCCAAGGATAAGAGATTTGGCAGGTTCCCAGCCTAGTGAGAACTTCCGTATACAAGCCCTGGTGCAAGTGCTTTAGACACGTTAGCTCATTAAACCCCACACTCCTCTGAAAAATGCCACTGTGCCGATGAGGAGACTGAGGCAGGCTCAGAGACACCCAGCAACTTGTGACAGCTTGCACAGCAGGTGAGAGACGGCTGTGCAATTTGAAATCAGGTCTGCCTGCTTGCAGACCCCATGCTCTCACCCTCCCTTTGTATTTATTTCCACCCAACTCTGTGGCTTCAGTGACCGCCTCTCACACCCACCCAGCCCCAGCCAGAAAGAGCTCTGCACAGGTGTCTAGAGATGGGGGAAGGAACCGCCTGGGTTCCAGACACTGAGGCCTTCACCAAACCCTGAAGGCAGCTGCTGGCTCACTTATGGGGAATTTCACCAAGCAAAAATTCTCCATGCAGAATTTCTAGATCTACCAATTATGTTCCTTTCTCTTGAAAGCAGATCCAAAAACATCTTTTTTAAAGAATGACCTTAAACTGGCCACTGATCTTGTACATAAATTATATCTCAACAAAGTTTATAGAAAAACAAATTGGCCCAGTGTAGAATATGCTGCTTAAAACTTTAGTTATGCTTAAGACCTATGTTCTCTGGTTCCCTGTTTAGTGCCTTTCCCCTCTATAACCTATTCCAGGTGCACAGTCTCAGTCCTATAAGTGATGCCCTATAAAGGGCACAGATTGTGTGTGGTGAACCTAGGAGATTCTACCTGGAGACTGTATGCTCCGTGATGGCAGAGACTGGGCCCAGTTACCTTCCAGAACTCTGATAGGACCATGTCTGTTCATTTGTTCATTTCTTCATCTGTCCATTCATTCAAATAAATATTTGTTGGGTGCCTGCCGTGAGCCATGCCCTCTTCCAGGCTCTGGGAATTCCGCAGATAACAAGGCCAACATGGTCCTTGCCTTCCCCCAGTTCTGTTCCAATGAGGGAAATGGAATAAACAAGTAAACAAATACGTGCTCTAGTATTTAAATGAATGAATGACTCCCCTTGGGACCTGTTTTTGAAAACTCAATGAAAGGAGCAGGTCTTAAAGGAACTGTTACCACAAACAGTTGCCTTGACATGTAGCTGACCCACTGATGAGCATCTTTTTCTTGATCTGAACCCAATTTTGTCATTGGATGGAGAAATATCCCTTTCAGTTATTCACCTGTTTCAGAGCTTTCCTGAGCAAAAGTGACATGTCTTGTCCAGGTATATGGACAAAGATAAGTGATTCCCACATAACTTCTTTTCAATTGAAATCTTTTTGACATGTAGCATTGTGTAATTCCCACATATTTTTGAGTGTCAGCAGGTCACAATTTGAGTATTGTTTAAAATGACTAGTGATATCTGGAAAAAACAGGGTTTTTACAAAAATGTTACCTATAAATAATTACACTGATTCATCATAGCGTCTTCTCCCCCGACCCCTTGATCTTCACTCATACCTGAAAGAGAATATTTTATAACAAGGCATATCTGAACCAGAGGCTGAAGTTGGTTTAAACCCAAATTGAATTTCATCTGCTACCATTTTTAACGTCTTAAATATTCTATTGCCTGCAGCACATTCAGCCAGAAGTATGAGCCACATGGCAGGTTGATTTATCATTCTGATTACTTTATATGTTCTCCCTGGTCCCCCTGAAAGAATGTGCATAATGATTTGTTCTCAGAGATCTTCGATCCGCTACCCTATCATTAGAAAATGCTTACGTCCACGCTCTCCTGTACTCCTGTGCTAATTAGCAGCCAAAGTATTCTCCTGAAGCAATCGCTGCTCCAAGCACTATTAACTTGCTTAGGATTCAGTGCCCATTTTATTACACAGCATAACAGACAACAAGCTTCTTGGGATTTGTGCCAATTATAGACAGTATGGATATTTATTTTGGTAATGAAAGAAATGAAGAGGTTTGAAGACTCCTTGAAGTTTCCTTGCAATCAGAAATCCTAAGACTCTGGTCCTTCACTGAAATACTGTATATCTGTCAGGAACACTGGAGTCTTTGGGAAGGGGGCATATTTTATCCCCTCCCTTCTGGTAGTTTGTGTTGCATTTCTGGTATCATGCAAATAAAAGCATTAAGCTGAGAAGAGCTAGAAACTTTTTTATTTTTATTCCAATTACCTTTTATGGGAAAGTTGCATTTCCCCCACAGAGAAAGGTCAGGGGTGAAAGAAGTATTTTCACTCGAAGTTTCCAAAGCACAAACACGCAAACGTATACCCTTGGGGAGGGTGGTGGTTGAAGTGATTGGGTCCCCGCCCCCACACTTAGCATATACCCACTCCCCAATGTCTCAGATGCCCCAGGAGAAAAATAAGTGTAACTGTCCCAAATGTCAGAGGGTCTGAGCCATAATGGCGCATGAACTGAGCCAGAAAATTTGTGAAACCTTGATGTTTCTGTTAATTCGACCAGAGTACGTAGTAACGGCAAGATTTGCCAGGACAGAAACCAAGAACAAAGACTATGAGCGCCACCTGGCGGCGAGGATCAGCGCGCACTCACCCGCGTCCCCTGCGCATGACCCGCCCCCATCGTTTTTTCTGCATGACTGTGGCATAACATGACATTTAACACAGATGCCTGCATTTCTGCTTAACACCAGTCACACTGGTGTTTAAATCGGCCTAGACAAGACTTAAATTGCATAGAAAATATTACCAATCTGTCTTCCCCCCGCCAGACAGATGAGAGAAGCTGAAGCTAAAAAACACTGTGAGTGGTCGGGTGAGAGGATAGTCACAAATAATACCTACACGCCAGGCATCATCTGAGCAACCGGCCATTTACTGACTCATTAAATACATTTACCAGCCCCATCAGATTGGGACTACCATCACCCTGTCTGCAGAATGAGACATGAGACAGAATTCGGTGTCCTCGCTGTGTTCACACAGCCTGTAGGTGGCAGAGACAGTAGGTGGCAGACCCAGTTCCTGAGTCTGTGCTGCGCTTTAGAGCCTCTAGCGTTTAGTGCTGGTTCCTAGAGGCGTCTGGGAAGGTAGAAGGAACCGGAACTAGGCAACGAAGACAAGATTTGAGTTGCGGCCCCGTCTCTGTCCAGCCTTGGGATCCTGAGCAAGTGACCCACCTCTCCGGGTCTCTATCTGCCCACTTGCAAAATGGCAACATTGATGGGAACATTTGCCTTCAGCAGCGCTGTGCAGAGCTATGGAACAAGTAGCATTGGCGAGTGGGCTTCGTAAACTCTGCAGTGTTCTGACATAAGCTATGTTATTAGCACTGGAGGAAATGAATTCTATTACCTGCTCCCCTCTCTTGAACTTTGCTCTGCATCCAGGCAGTGCTGGGTGGTCTGGAACCAAGGGCTGGTCTGTTTATGGCTGAGAGTCCAAAGGTTGTAGGAAGGCAGTTACGCCAGCAGGTATCCCTCGTGGCAGGTGTATCTGAGGCCCTCTGTAGGCACAAAGATAAGGTTTATGTTTTGACTACATGTGAAATGGTGGTCACAGAAGGAACGGCCCCTCTCTCATCCTTTTTCTAGTTAAAACTAAAAGGCTTGGTTTCCCCAACACCCCAACAAAGATCAACCCAAATCTCTTGTCCAACTTCAGAGAAGGACCGATGTGTCTTGCAGACCAGGGCTGATCCTCCTCTGACTGTGTGTTGCCCCCTCCCACAGATCAGTGCCCTACAGAAGGGCTACAGCCAGGTGCTGTGCCAGACGCTGTCGGAGAGGAACTCAGAAATCACATCCCTGAAGAACGAGGGTGAGAACTTACGGAGGGACCACGCCATCACAGCAGGTGAGCTCTTTCTGGATTTAGGCCCAAGAGCCACCCCTTTCCCCTCCTTCCAAGCCACAGCAGACATCACCAATCAACCCTGGCACCTTTGCCCACAGAACCAGGCTGCAGCCTCAGAGATATTCTCAGAGTGGCAGTGAATTAGAGTTCACCCTCAAGAGAAGTTTATTACCATCTAGTTCCTATGGCAGGGCCTGATAAATATTCGGGTGGATGTTACCTCTTAGCTGGACCTTACCAGGGGGGACATACACTGTGTGGCTTGGGCAGTCCCATAAGCCAGCTTGCCCTGAATGCAAACTAGAATGTGGACAAAATGGGATCGCTGCTTTAAGGCACCGATTATCTACCATTGTCTCTCATGTGCACTTGGACTCAAATGAAATTTTCTAATTGCCCAACAGAGGTGGTTCCACATTAAGGAACGTGAGTGCAGGGAGAGCACCCAATGCATCTGGCCCAGGGCACAGCTGTTTCCTTACCTGGATTCCTTCATTCGGCATGTTTATTGAGCACCTACTAGGTGTTGGGCCCTGTCCTAGGAGCTGGAGAGACAGCTCTGAGCCAAACACTCAGACCCCTGCACTCATGGAGCTCATGTTTAGGACAATAAAGGTGAAGAGTTAAGCCCATTTCAGAGGAAACTGGTCAAGGTAGTGGCAAAGTGCCTCAGAGGATGACACAGAGGGAGATAGCTTAGTGGGTGAGCAGACAGGCCTCTGAGGAGGGCCAAAGGAAGAGCAGCCAGGAGGCCAGAGGGAGCAGTGTTCCAGGTGCAAGTGCAAAGGCCCTGGGGCTGGCAAGCTGGCCGTGTTGGAGGAACTGGAAATGCGGCTGGAGATCAAGGTAGTGAGGGGCTAGGCAGGACCAGAGGGGAAGGAGTCTGGGTTTATTCTAAGGGTGATGGGAAGCCATTGGGGTTTTCAAGGCAGAAAGTGGCATGGCTAGAGACCTGATACTCCTATCCTCCACCACCCACCAGGCCTCTGTTTATGCCTTTCTCTAACTTGGAATGTCCTCGGGTCGTTGCCGAGCACCGCCTATGGGCCAGGAGCTGCTCTAGGCATGAGGAGTAAAAGATAGCGGGCCCTTGCCGTCCTCCCTGTATCTGCCTATCAGATCGCATCCATGGCTCAAGCCTGCCTCAGTACCACCTTCTTCAGTGAGGGAAATGGACAGACCTGGCTTGGGGTAACACTTGCGATGGGTGGACCCACTCAAAGTGCGGTCCCCAGACCAGCAGCACCACCATTCTCTAGGTCTTTGTGAGAAACACAGCTTCAGGCTCCAATCTGGACTTCCTGAATCAGAATCTGTACTTTATCAAGAGCCCAGGTGTTTCGTGTGTACATTCAAGTTTGAGAAGCTCTGGGCTGGGTTACACTGCAGTACAAACAGCCCCCCGTGTCTCAGTGGCTGACGGCTCACAGGCTCATTTCCTGCTTCCACCAGTGCCCATCACGGGTCAGCCGGAGCTTGGCTCATTGTAGCACTTAGGGACCAGGTTAACAGCAGCCATCACAACACCTGCTCGCATGGTGAGAGAGGCAGGAAGCGTATAAAGAGCAGATAGAGGAACAAGGACTGAACTCACTCTCCCGCCTAAAACAACTGAAAAAAGAAAAAAGAAAATGATATCTGTCGCTGTGATTTTCCTATATTGGGCTATAAGCAGTGCATGACAGTGATGTGGGAGAGAGGAAACAAGCCAGGGAAGCCCTAAGACTGCCCCAGCTTACTGCCTAGAGGGAGGGGAACCCAGGCAGAGCCCGGTGGGCCCCCAGGTGGAGGCAATTGAGTTGGAGAGGCCGACACAGACAGAGTTGCTGGGCAGAGTAGCAGGGAGGAGGGGCTGCGCTAAGAGAGCCCCAGGAATCTGCAGAGGGTCCCCCACAGGTCTGCAGCTGAGGACTGAGCAGCACATGTATGTGAGCAGGGAAGGAACCACCCACCAGGAGCAGCAACAATCTCGAAGCTCACACGGAGCCAAGGATAGTTCCACTTTCCCAACTTCCAGGACGGGGAAACCTCGCAGCACACACTGTCTGCAGAGACTCAGGAAGGTGTTGTCTCAGTCATGAGGCCAAATTAACTCTAGACTTAAAGTTAATCTGGTCCCGCCCCACAGAGCTTGAAGGCAAGCCCCAAAGGGATGAGCTCGTTTCCAAGAAGCTTAACTGTGTCCTGGGACAAAGCTCATTTTTTAAATGAAACTCTGGACCATATTGCTCTTTATTTCATGTACCTTCTCAATGGATACCTGCCAATAGAACTGGGCATAATGTTCTTCCAAGAGCCGGATGAGATAATCCACTACCACGGCATGCTTGCACGCTTCATCCCGCTTGCCCTCACTACGATAATACAGTGATACATCAGTTATCCTACGTAACAGGTTATTCCGAAGTGTAATAGATAAAACAACAACCAGTAGGTATTATCTCGCCCAATTTCTGTTTTCTGTAGCTCAGGGATTTGAGGGTTTTGGTTCTGGCTCAGGGTCTCTCATGAGCTGTAGTCAAGATGTCAACTGAAGCAACTATCATGTCACCTAAAGCCTCGATGGCAGCTGAGGGATCCCCTTCCAGAACGGCTCACTCACGTGGCTGTTGGCTGGAGGCCTCAGTTCCTCACTACGTGGGCCTCTCCCAGGGCTACCTGGGTGTCCTCACAGCATAGCAGTGGCTTCTGCCCAAGAGAGTTATCTGACAGGAAGCCAAGAGGAAGCCGCAACATCTTGTGTGACCAGCCTAGGAAGTCACATCCCATCATTTCCACAATATCATACGGGTTATATACACACTGGCCCTAGTCAGGGTGGGAGGGGGCTACGCGAGGGCATGAATCCTTGGAGGGAGGGATTACTGGGGCCATTTTGGAAGCTGGCTACCTCAAAGAATCCCAGGCACCGAGGAACAGGCACAGTGGGTTAGCCCCTCCCTTCTGACCTTTACATATATCATCTCCCTCAACCCTCCCAGCAGCTCTATGGGGGAGATACAGTGGGAGGTACAATGACTTGTCCAAGACCACCAAGCTAATACGTGGTAGAGATGGCTCCACACTCAGATGAGTGTAGGTCCGGCCACCCCGCCTCTCCTCCCCAGCAGTCCCTTTCTTCCACGAGCCCATCTTACGGCCTCAGGAGGAGAACTGATCCTTCTTGGTGCTGGGCCTTCACGCCGTGGCCTCTGCCCCCAGCTCTGCCCGGCCTGTGTCCACAAGGCAGGCTTTTCTTCTCCTGGCCACGCTCACCGACTTCTTATTCTCACTGAGGCCTTAAGCCAACGCTGTTCAGTGCATTTTGGTCTCATCCCCATTCCAGCTCTGAGGTCCCTGGAGACAAGTTCATGGGTTCCAGGAGTGGCCTGGCTTGGAAGAGGCTGGTCCACAAGTAGACGGTAGAGGCAAAGACGGTAATCCTTACTGCCTCTTGACCTCTGTCGGCCTTTTTATTTTACAGGGATCGTGTCATCGTTGCAAAAAGAGGTGTCAACCAGAGATGAGCAAGTTCAACAACTAATACAGGAGGTGAATCAGCTCAAAAGTGAACACAGAGAAAAGGATCACCAGCTTGAAGCCCTGAGCTCCAGAGTGAGTGCTGGGTTGTCATCATCGTACGTAGCTGTCTGCACAAAGCAAAGCCGAGTCGCATGCCACATTCGTCTCTCTATCTTAGACTGCAGCTTTTTATGTCACTTCCTTCTCTCTCGCCATGGTGAGATGAGGCCAGTGCCCAGGGACATGGGGAGGACAGTGGCTGGGTGGGCCAAAGCATGAAATGCCTGCCCAGAGAGACTACAGAGGGCCAAGTGCCTTGCAGCTTTTCAAAGAACAGCACGTATATGGCTCAGAATAAGCGATACATATACTCAAATCCAGCAAACATTTTCTAACACCAATTATAAATTAGTTTGTCAATGCCCCCAGCAAGCACATATGTTAGCATGTATTGCCATTGCAAGGCTTAATGTGGACGCAGCATAAGATCTCTCTGTGGGCAAGGATGGCCACACCGGGCTGTACCACCATCCCCGTCACCACTGGTTGCCACAGTTCCTTCAAAGCAGAAGTGTGAAGGTCCGGATGCAGGCATCCTGACTTCATTTCTCCCCTTAGACTTCAGCATGTAGAAGAATTCCTCTCTGTAAAATAAAGCTGGTAGGCAAGTCAAAAGCTTTTTAAACATAACTGACTATATGCAATTTTGCTTTCAATCCTGATCCCATAGGATAAGATTTTTCAGGGTCTACATGATTTGTCTGTTTCAGTGAATCAAGGTAAAACCTAGGAGCTCTCATCTCAGGTGGCAGCTCAGTTTCCCAGCAGCTGCCCGATCAGTCAGCTATGTCTGCATGCACACCAGGGTGGGAATAGATCTTGATGCTCCAAGAAAAGGCAGAAGAAGTATCTGGTACTTGGGACGATACCCAGTTTGGAACTGCAAAAAGGCAGGACATGAGCTTTGGGATCAGACAGGCCAGGATCCAATGCAAGAGCTTTCTTTCTTTGTAACTTACTTGGCCTCCATTTCCGCCTCTGTGAGATGGGGATCACAGAATCATTTTCTGAGAAGTGGGAGACTGATTTTAATTGTGCTCGCTGTTTTATGTGAGTATGCTGCGTGTGCATGTGTGCATGTGTGTGTGTGTGTGTCCTGGGCGGCATGGGTTGTAGAGCTGACGTAAACAGCACAGGGAAAAACAGCACTGCGTGGCCGCTCTGCCTCCTGCAGTGGATTCGTGTTCTCGTCTCCCGGCCCCCTTTCCTCCCTGACTTTGGTGTGAGCTGCCTTCTCTGCTGCATGCCGGCCCACAGGCTCCCCACCACCAAGGGTGTTGCTCTTGAGGACTTTGGGGATGCCTACCTTTTGTTTTAGTTACGTATGTCATGTGTGTTCATTTTAGAAAAATAAGTAGAAGATATTGAAAAGCAAAACTAAAAAGAGAAGAAAGGAAATGCTATCCCAAGAAATAATGTTTTATTTTAATGTATACTCTTTCAGTCATGGTTCTATACATTACCTATAAGTAAATACATAAATTTCATATGTATCTTACAGTGAATTTATACTATGCACATTTTTAAAATTTTCAATATTGTTTTCCCATGTTAATAAATAAAAGCTCTTATCATTGGTCTTAAGGGTCCCATAATATTTCACTGGAGGTGTACAATGTAATAAAGCATCTTTTGGGGGCCCTTGGTTGTTTCTTTTTTCTTTTTTTTTCACTGTTACTAACAATACGTGAAGATCCTTGAACCTACAGATTTGCTGATTCCTCTGGTCATTGTCCTTAGGATGCAATACTGAAATGGGAATTTCTGGGTCATAGGAAGGCAAATCTTTGTGCTCTTCATGCCTGTTGCCAAAGTGCCCTCTGGAAAGGCTGCTGTGTTTACACTTTCCCCAGCCAGGCAGGTGTGCTCTTGAGATGCAGCTCGCAGAAAGCCCTCAGAGCCACTCACGTTCACTAGAGAGCCCCCCCGTGTATTCCTGAAAGCCGTCCTCAGCTGGTCACAGAGAAAAGAAATCCCAATTCCTGCCCCCTAAGTACCCAGACTCTACAAAGCTGGGTTTTTCCTGTGGTGTAGACTGCTGGCTTTTGAAGAAGAATACAGACTCTTTACTCCTCAGAACTCAAGAAAGGGATGAACTAGGAGCTGCTGCAGGATCCCCCACATCCGTTAGACACAAATGGTCTCTCGGGATTTGGGGGTGTGCTTGGATTAAATAGCAGGAAATGCTTGTAGGGACAGACATGGAGTCCAACCCAGACAACCCCACATGGACTTGTCCTTTTTCTATACAGTGCTCAGTGTTAAAAGAAGAGTTAAAAAAGGAGGACGCTCAGAAGGAGCACCGGGAATCCCAAGAGAAAGAGTTAAAACTCTACAAAACCGTGAGTTGAAACTCTTCATTCCTACATGTCCAGAGAGCAGCTAGACTTTGACCCTTACGGTTTGGGTTTTTCGAGGGGGAGGGGCATCCTTGGCCCTTTAGACAGCACAAGCTCTGGGTTTTATGATCGCTTATTTGTTTGTTAACATAGTCTTGTAGATCTCTGATTGGCCGCCTCCAGCCTCAAGGAGGAAACAGGTGAACACACTCCCAGGATTCTCCCGGCAGTTGGCTCTACCTCTCCCGGGGCTTCCCTGGAGCTGGGCTTAGGTGGGAACGGGGACAGGGGTGGAGGTGACCAGATGGCCACCACATGCTGCTAGATGTGCACTATGGTCCCCTGCCCCTGGACCTGTAATGCCCAAGCTTTTATCTTCCACTGTCACAAGATTTATCATTGGCATAGACAGTATTACTGACATGGCATTCTTCCTTAAGTATTTTTAGTTAAGTACATTAATTTTACACCAATTCATTAAAAGCCAAACAAAACGTATCATTTGCCTTATAAAGAAAATGACTATAAAAATTAATATAATGAAAATAATGACCACTCAAATGCACACATTCATTCCCTATGCCACGCCATCCTCTCGCACATCCCAAGCATACATTTTCCATTTGTTGGGAAATACAGCACCTTAGACACAAGGAGGAGACATGTCCTTCTCCTTGTCAGGAACATTGCTATTCTCAGCCTCACATGGGAAAGAAGAAAAATTGCATTGTTCTGTTCTTCCAAACTATGCCCATTGTGTCATCCAAACAGCCCTTATTTAGACAGGTTTCAAAAAATAAATCCCAGGAGAAGATATTCTAATGAACTGATGAATATCTTGTACTGTTTAACCCAGGATCCACGCTGATTTTCAAAAGAAACTAATCATTTTCCTTTACCCAGCATTTTCAATGTATCAATTGAAAGAAGTCTACTTTGTCCTACAGACATAGAATTTTCCCCCAAGGGAGGCAATTAAGCTAATACCAGCCTAGGTTTCCGCCAATGAACCAATGAAATAAGTTACAAAGATTCAGACCTTGCAGCCCAGACAAAGGGCAGCTCCTACTTCCCACCAGGGAAGTTGACTTCCTGTTGTTGCAACTCTTTCAGCAAATCCAAGACATGGAGAAAGAAATGAAGCAGCTCAGGGAGGAGCTGAAGAAGAGTTGCTCTGACCAGACCATGATCTCTAAGACGCTGCGAGAAAAGAGCAAGGTGCGACAAGAACAAAGTTGGCCCGGGGACCGCCGTACGCCAGGCATTTGGCTCTGCTGTCTCTGCTAACTCCCTGCCCCCACAACGACCCCATGTGGTCGATACTGGTATTAACCCCAGTTTACAGTCGAGAAAACTGAGGCTTACGGAGGTACTTTATCTCAGATACAGTAGTCGCGGCAAAATTTGAACCCAGGTCTGCCTGCCTCCAACACTCTTGTGTGTGTAACTAGCACCCTAGATGGACTTTAGATTTTAATTGCAAAGTTTATCCAGAAGAGAACTGATCCATTAAATCAAATTTGCTGGTGAGGTTTTCAAACTTAAATGTTCTTGCTGGGGTTTCTTGTCCGTATTTTTTTTGCAGTCATTGCGAGCCGTGTGTTTTTTTACAAGCTCCTCATGATTGTGGATTTGTGGATTTCTTCTTTTAATATTGCCAGTTTTCACTTTGTATATTTTGAAGCTGTGTTACTAGGTGCATATAAATTTAGAATTTTAATGCTTCCTGTTGCACAAAACATTTGATCATCACAAAACGTCCCCCTCCATCTCTAGTAGTTTTCACTGAAAGTCTACTTTGTCATTAATATGAGTCCACCAGCTACACTGGCTTTCTTTTGGTTAGAGTTTTCATAATATCTTTTTCATACCTTTTCTGTCAGTCTCTAAATTTAGAACATGTCTCTTCTCAATAGCCCATCACCTTTATAAAATCCAGTTTGACAGTCTTTGTCTCTTAGTCCACTTAAATGTAATGTAATTGCTGCTCTATTGTGGGTTAAATTTAGTTTCTTGCTCAGGACCAGTTGTGCCATCTGTGCTATAATTCCCTTCTCTCTTTTCTTGTCTTCTTTTAAGCTGATGGTTTTTCCTTTTACTATTCTTTTAGTACTAGTAAGACAGTAATATTCACCCCTGACTTACTAAAATCCAGTATTCACTGAGTTTTTCACTCTTATTATTCTTTTAGTAACCTTCCTAAAGACTGTACTATGCATTCTTGCCTTACCAAGATCCAATATCAGTTGATAATTATGCCCTTCCCCTTGACAGTGCAATGACTTTAGAACACATTATCACGTGCAGATTGATATGCCATGGTTGTGGTAAAACCCCAAAGACACCATTAGTCTGCTTGTATGTTCATATCCACACATGGCCCTTTCATTTGCTTGACTTTTTCTGCATCTCCGATCCTCCATCTGGGATCATTTTTCTTCTGCCTGAAACACACCCTTTAGTGTTTTCATTCAGCATGGCTCTGCCGATGACATACTCTTCCAGATATGTGTGTGTGTGTGCTTAAAAATGTGTATTTAACCTCCATTCT